CTTTTACCAATGTCTTATAGTTTTCAGTGTACAGGTCTTTCACCTCCTTGGTTAAATTTATTCCTAAGTATTTTTTTTCTTTTTGATGCAGTTTGTAAAGGGGATTGTTTTATTTCTGTTATAATTTATTATTAATGTATAGAATCATTACTGATATTTTAATGGTAATTTTGTATCCTGCAATGTGAGTTTGTTGTTTAGATCTTAACAGTTTTTTCATGGAGTCTTTAGGGTTTTTTCCCCATATAAAATCATGTAATCAACAAATAGACAATTTTACTTCTTCCTTTCCAATTCTGATGCCTTTTTCTTTTTCTTGCCTGATTACTGTAGCTAGGATTTCTGGTACTATGTTGAATGGGAGTGGTAAGAGTAGGCACTCTTGTCTTCTTCCTGATCTTAGAGGAAAAACTTTCAACCTTTCACCATTGACTATGATGTTAGCTGTGGACTTGCCATATATGGCCTGTTATTACGTTAAGGTATATTCCTTCTAAACCTAATCTGTTAAGAGTTTTCATTATGAACAGATGTTGAATTTTATCAAATGTTTTTCAGTGTCCATTGAGATGAGCATGTTATTATTTTCCTTTATTCTGTTAATGTGTTGTGTTACATTCATTTTCATGTGTTGAATCATCCTTGCAAATCCAGCAATAAATCTCATTTGGTGTATAATCTTTTTCATATGCTGTGGAAATCAGTTTGCTATTATTTTGTTGACAATTCTTGCATCAATATTCATCAGGGATAGTGGTCTGTGGTTTTATTGCATTATCTTTGTCTGGTTTTGGTATCAGATTAATGCTGACCTCATAGATTGAGTTTGCTGTTTTGTCCTCTTCAATGTTTGGAAGAATTTGAGGACAGTTGGTGTTACTTCTTCTTTTAATGTTTGGTAGAATTCACCAGTAAAGGCATCTGATACTGAGCTTTCTGATCACTGTTGCAGTCTCCTTACCAGTCATAGGTCTGTTTACATGTCCTATTCATTATTAAGTTGTAGTAAGTTGTGAATTTCTAGGAATTTATCCATTTCATCTAGGTTATCTGGTTTGTTGGTCTTCATAGTATTATTATCTTATGATCCCTTGTATTTCTGGGATATCAGTTGTAATGTCCTCTCTAATTTCTGATATTATTTGAGCCTTCTTTTTTCTAGGTAAAGGTTTGTCAGTTTTACTGGTTTTTTTTCCAAAGAACCAACTCTTGATATCATTGATTTTTCTACACTATTTTTCTATTATATATTCATCAACTCTGCTTTAGTCTTTATTATTTCCTATCTTCAACTAATTTGGGGATTAATTCTTTTTCTAGTTTCATAAATTGTAAAGTTTATTTAAGATCTTTTTTAATGTATTTACAGCTATAAATTTCTCAGCTTTTTTTTTACTGTATCCCATAAGTTTTGGTATGTTGTGTTTCATTATAATTTGCCTGAAGATATTTTCTAAATTCCCTTGATTTCTTTGACCCATTGGTTGCTTAATTCCCACATATTTGTGGCTATTGCAGCTTTCATTCTGTAATTGGCTTCTATTTCATTTTATGAAAAGGAGAGATACTTTGTATAATTTACTAAGATTTGTTAGTGGCCTAATGATTGGAGAATGTTCCATGTATATTTGAGAAAAATGTTGGGTGGAATGTTCTGAATATGTCTATTATTATGTCTTGGTGATTTAGAGTGTTGGTTACTGTTCCATTAATCTTCTGATTGTACTATCCATTATTGAAGTCTCCTATTATTACAGAGCTGTCCATTTCTCCTACCAGTTCTGTTGATGTTTGCTTCATATACTTAAAAGCTCTGATATTAGTGCATATATATTTATAATTGTTGTAGTGCCTTAGTGAACTAACCCTTTTATCATTATATAATGTCCTTCTTTGTCTTATAACTGTTTTTTCCTTAGTCTGTTTTGCCTGATATTATTAGAGCCACACCTTTTCTCTTTTGGTTACTATTTCCATGGAGTATCTTTTTGCATTCTTTCATTTTCAATCTGTGTATGTCTTTAGATTGTAAGTGAACCTCTTGTAGACAGCATATAGTTGGTCCTATTTTTTTAAACCCATTCTTCTATATGGGGAATTTAATTCATTTATATTTCACATTATTACTAACAGGGAAGAACTTCCTGTTGCCAATTTTTTTTAAAGTTTTCTCGTCTTTTAAATGTCTTGATCTCCTAAGTGTCTTGGCCCTACTTCTCAGCGCCTTAGATGTACCTTATTCCTCTGCCCATAAGCTCTTGCCTGTAGGCACCTATGGTTCTGCAGACCCCCTACAGTCCTCATGTCTAGCAGTGCCCACCTCTGCTTTCAGCAGCTCCAACCTAATAGTCAGACTATGCCACCATTCCATCAGGTGAGACAAAACAGTCCCTAAGGCACCCTCATGTAAGTTAGAACATCAAACCAAGTTCTGTTCTTGTCCTTTCCATCCCAAGGGAGGCGGTGGGGAGGGTAAGGTGAAAGGGTGAACATGAATGCAGTGTCATTTCCTAGTGTTTGAATGTGGTTCTTGCCTGGTTGCTGCTGCTTACTTGGCTTCTGGAGTTCTCACAATGCCTCAGTAATGTGTGTGCTGTATGTCAGCGTTTCCATGGGAGCTCCCTAGGAGAACAGGGGCTCTGAGCGTCCTACTCTGCCATCTTGCTGACATCACTATTAAAAAAATAATAATTTAAAGTCATTATTTACTATTTTACCATATTACTATTGCTGTTATTCGGTTTTTCTTTATGTGTATGTAGGTTCAGATTTCCTTCTGGTATCATTTTCCTTTTGCATGAACGACTTTACATTATTCGACAACCTGCTATATGTGAAAAAAAGTTACTTTCATTCAATGTTGTTTGTTATAATGTTGATGACATGCCATAGAAACTTATTTGTTTGTATCAAAATTGATTTCATTATAGTTTCTCTGATATTAAGCAAAATAATCTACGATGCTAAGTGAGGACTTACTACATAACATCTTCCAGTACTTAATAAGTTCTAACCTGTCTCACTTGTCATGGACAGTGGCTGCACATGGTTATTTAGGTGTCTGCCAAGGATTTGAGGGGAATATTTAAGTAGATTTTGAGGACTCCATTCTTTCCAAGATTTCCCATGGATAAGGGTGTTATTTCTGATTTGAGGTCTATCCCCAGTGAACTCATGAACTGGAAAGTACTCTCAATCAATATGCTTCCCTTTTTTTCAAGGGTCATACCACCACCACTTTGCTATTGATTACTCACCTACATCTTCAGATGTTTTAAAAATTGTGTCCAGAGTTTATATCTGCTACTATCTGGAGAGCTGGTCCAATACAAGCTATTTTACTATTACTGGAATATAACAAAGTTGTTATTTCAAAACGTTTTTTAAAATGTAAATGTGAGACTTGAACATCATTAAAAGTTATCAAAGTTACAGTAATTTAGTAATGCAAAGAAAACTTTACCAAAAATTTTATATTTCAGTTCATTATAGTTTTTATAATCTTTTTCTATTAAAAGAGTGAAAAAGGTATATATAGAACTTTTTTTTTCTTTTGTAGGATATAGCAAGTGAAGAACACAAAAAAATTGAAGCATTAAAATCAGAAAACAAGAAGCTAGAAAAACAAAAAGGAGAATTAATGATAGGGTTCAAGAAACAATTAAAATTAATTGATGTTTTAAAAAGGCAGAAGGTGAGTGTACCCGAAAAGAAAACCCATCAATATTATTTGGAGCTCTCTACTAAAATATTTATTAGTGTTTGTACTTCAGATATGTTTGTTTAACATGCTTAGGCACAAAAGTTTATGTAAGATTTATTTATAATGTGTCATCCAAGGAAGTGGATATTTTCATGCAAGTAAATTAGTAATGTGGAGAATGGGACTGGAAAATACAGTATGGGTACTTCTTAAATAAAGAACATAGCATATACAAGAGCAACTTGGATTGCCTCTTGGAAGAGTGAAAATTGATTCCAAATCACTATTGTTCCATTTTCTACATGAGTCACCTGGTAGTGAATAGACATGAATTCATGGTTCTGCCTCTTTTCCTTTTTGCAAAGGTTAAGTTAGGTATTAAACTATTATTGAATTGTCTTTCAACAGTTAATTGGTGCAATACCACCATTGGATAAATAGGCTTTTATAGGCTGACTCTTGAATATAATTACTGTTTCATATATCATGTTTATTGGAATTAGAGTACAGATTCCTACAACAGAGCTTATAATTTGATAGCATTGTATACACACACTTTTCAAACTTCCTGTTGTGTGGTTTATTCTTAATACTAAAGTAAACATCTTCATAGTAATTTTTTTTTTTTAAACACAGATGCATATTGAAGCTGCCAAGATGCTGTCTTTCACTGAAGCGGAATTTATGAAGGCACTTGACTGGGGAAATTCTTAAGTGGGGTATTTTAGTGTCTATAAGTGTGTGAGGTTATACATTTTATTTAGCATAAGTTATAATGGTTTGAATTATTTTTACTCTTAAGAAATGAGTTTATCTGAGAGAAATTCTGTTTTAAGTTCTTATTGACAAATAAAGCACTTTGGAATTCCTCACCCTTTACTTTTCTCCTCCCTTACAGTAGACAGAAAAGGATGTTTTACTTAATCTAAAAATTAATGTTTAAAAAACATACTATATAGATTAGTTTGCTAAGGCCGCCATAAGAACCACAGACTTGATGGCATAAACAACAGACATTGTCTCACAGTTCTGGAAGTCTGAGGGCTCTCTGCTCCCCATGATGTCACATGCTCAGCAAATGGTGCTTTAAACCCAAATTACTTATAAATACTTATTTCCCTGGCCAAATCAGGCAAGTAAAGTTCCTAAACACAAACACAGACAAAACTGTAGCCTGAATAGGGATACAGAAAAGATTCTGAACAGTATGGAAAAGGTAGTGTCCATATTTATATACACGGAATGTTATAATGTGGTGGTGTAGAACTCAGATATTCAGTACAAAAAAAGCAGTTAATTTGCAGTTGAAAGTATTTATTCATTTTAATTTTTATCAGAAAATAAATGTTTTCTTATAGAGAACCACTTACAAATGATGAAATGGAGATGTTTTAGAAAATTCAGAGACAAGATTCCTATCACTGAACTGGAAAACAAAACTTACACTGACATCTAGTGGTAACATGCAAAAGAATCCAGGTTTTACCAAATCTTGATATCACTTTTCTTCACAAATTTCACTCCTTTTCTGATATGCCTTCTTAAACTCTTCACCAAGCATATCAATATCACCCTCTGTTTTGAATACTCCCTACAAGAAAAATATTTGTGGGTTACTTTGAATACTAGAATATTTCCCCAAATGTTTGTGAGACTAGCAAATAGAATTGAAATTTGCAGTTGTTTCTAAGATAATTAAATCTCTTTAGTAGAGTTATAAAAAAATGGTTATTTTCTGAAAATTACACCTTGATATGAATATTCTCAGACTGACCAGGCTTCCTGAAGACTGACCAGACTTCCTGATTTATCAGTTCCACTGTTGGAACTTATCATAGGAATCTTCTATTTTTTAAGTACTACCACTTGGATTGGCTGAATGGGAAGGAATTTAATGTATACTGTAGGCTACCCTCTCTTGAAACAGACCTACAATACAATTATGAGGGGTCAGGGTGAAAAGCTTGAGTTTTGCCAAATTCATGCATGAGACTGGCTCTTGCTTCAGTTCTATGGCTAATCAGCAAACATTCAATCTTGCAGGAAAGAATGAATCCAGGTTTGAAGTTTAGCCATTTGAATAAGCCCTTTAAAATTCTTTAGGCTTTTATTTTGTTTTCCCTTATAGTAAGAGGCGGCTCTTTAAAACAAAATTGAACTTATTTACTTATAAAGGATCCAAAGAATAATTTAGGTCATTTGGGGCCATTAGAACCAAAAGGATAAAAAGTCATTTTAGGATATCAGGTTTATTGGATTCTCCCCATCTCCACAATTATTTTCCTACAAAAATATCTAAATCCCAAGACTCTCCCAGAATTTGTAGTCTATTTCACAGAATTTATCAATTCCATGTGACTGTTGTCATTAATATATTATTTTGTATTCATTAATCTTATATAAACAGATTATAAGGTCTTGAGGGCAGGCAATAATTACTCATGTTTCTCTTTCTCCTTCCTTAATTTGCATTGGACTAAATATAAAATATGCACTTGATTCTTCCAATTGACTAAAATATCGAATGGCATAATTTCTATATTTGAAGGACAAAAATACACGAGTCCATGTTTATGTGGCCTGTGAAACTCAGTTTATAGTCACAGTGTATCTCAGATGTACGTGAAATTTGCTAAAAATTTTAAAAACTAGTTACTAGTGCCTAGTGATAACACAACCTCCTACTATAGAGCAGATCTGTCATAGACTCAGTTCAAGCGTGTGCCTGTCACTGGTATTACTGATTACAAGGTTTTCCTGTTGCAAAGTATCACAATTGCTTTACAGTAGTTTGGTTTTGTAACACCTACACTGAACGGTGAGAAAAGAATCTCTAAACCTTAAATTCAATACATTTAGCTCAGACTTCTAAAACTGTTCCAAGACTAGCTCTCATTTTGGAGATATTCAATGAGTGGCTAAAATCTCACTAGTGCTTGGTAACAGCAAAAAGTGAGCAAACCCCAGGACCTCTGTAATCCTAATACATGGTTTTTTTCCCCCACCAGTAGATGTCATGAGGCTTACACTTTGAGTTAAATCTCACTTACTTTAGGGAGATATCCTAGTAATTTTGTAGCATGTTCTTGGAGAAGTTTTAGTCTTTCTTCTTCAATAATTGCATTAATACGTCCTTGCCTACTTTGCTGTAACTGCCATTCTTCCAGTTCACGTTGCTGGAAATGTAAATAAAATCTTATTAATTGTCACATAATACATTAATCTTAAAGAAGTTGTCAAAACTACTCTTGCTGTGAATTAGATAAAAGTGATGAACTATTTATTGATACTAATTTCAAAAGATACTAGGTGATGTACAGGGTGGGGCAAAAGTAGGTTTATAGTTCATATGGAAAATGATACAACAATACATAATAATATAAGAATTTACAGTAATTATTCCTTAAAATTTATAAGAACAATACAAGGTGGAGCAAAAGTAGGTTTACAATTGTTCATATGGGAAATACAATAATAAATGATACAAGAATAAACTTGTACATACAACTGTAAGCCTACTTTTGCCCCACTCTGGTTATGACTGGGATTTTAGGAGACAAGTACACATTTTCAAGACAATGTCTTCATTGCCAAGGAAGAAATGTTCAAAGTGATTTCCTAATTAATTCAACAAATATTTGGTAGGTGCTGTAGGCAGGTTCGGTGTCAGACCAAAAACAAAAAAAAATGGATACAACAGAATAGGGATATCTAAAAGAAGTATTTCCATATATTAAATTTTAAAAAGTCTGTATGAAGTATAAAAATAGCATCAAGAGTTCTGAATACTCAACCACACCAAAATTCTGTGTTATATGATGTGGAAGAGATGTCTGGCTTTAATAAGTTTTAGGGCTTAAAAGAACTCTTAAGGAAATATATCCAAAAAATCCTGTTGACAGGGAAGGATGTTAAAAGGCAGTATTGAAATAGTGATGAATTCCTACCAGGAATTATTTTAGTTAAAGTAGTAGGATTAATGCAAAGCTTTTCTTTGAAATAACTAGTTTACAAGGGTCACTATTTCTTGGGACCACTCCTTGTCAAAGCCATGGAAACAAGAAAGGAAGAAAATTATATATCATATATGATTAATAGCTATCATCTGGCACATAAAAGGTTCTCGGTTAACTGTTTACTGGATGAATACATGAGCTGATTGCTGTTAAATAATAACCAAAAAAACCCCACCCCCCAAAAACATTTTTTCTTACTTTGTCTGCAAGGAACTTTGTGACGCTTTTTTCGCTCTTCAATAAGTTTTTCCACAGCCCTCCCATGTTCTAGTTGCTTCATTCTTCGTTTGTGAGCATTCATTAATTCTATTCGATCATCCTCAGCAAGTTTAGCTAACATAGCTTTTCTAAAGGTCTCCTCTTCCTCTTTTGCAGCCTGTAGTACTAGTTCCTTCAAGGCCATTTGTTCTGTAAAATTTTGCTTTAACTCCTTTTGCTTTCTCAACTTCTCTTCTGCTTCTTCCTAAAAACCATTTATATATAGAAGTTAATTCAGGAACTGTTTCTTTAAGGCAGATTTCTCAAGAAAGGGTAGAATAGTTTGATTAAGCTTAGTGTTACAATGTGAAATAAAATTGAGAAATTAAGCCTTTTCAAGATAACACTTCGCACTATTTTAATACTGTTTGGATAAAGGGCAGGTTACGTTTGAATTGCCTTCTATTACTTGTTTTTAAATTTTTATTTGTATATATTGACCATCTTGTTTCTGGACTCAGAATTAACACATAACTACTTTGAAAAGAGCTGATATAAAAACTTTTTTTGCTCACCTAAGTTTATTAAATCTGTGTTCTGTGAAATTTGTACCAACTATGAATCATTCTAGAATCTTGCATGAAACTATTAAAATCATTGATAAGTACTTTTCAGAACAATAATCCAACAATGACAATCAGAAGTTTTTCAGGAAAATTAAAATTTACTAGGAAGAGTTAAAAAGTCCTTTTCTATAAACTTTAATTTTTCCAGCATTTTATTATGAAAAATTTCAAACATAACCAAAAAAATATGAAGAATTTTATAGTGATCATTCACATACCTTAATCCTGGATTCTACTAATAATTGCTTCATCACTTGATCTGTTCAGTTAGGACTAATGCAAAATTTAAGTCCTTCTCTAATCTAACCAACAGTGCCCAGTTATTACACAAGCTCCAGGTAGTACAGTATCCTGAAGGCATTCAAAGTAACACAAATGTTTTTAAAAAGGAGTGGGTTTTAAGTGAGCCAATCTGCAGTATCAGTTATAGCAACTTTGATCATTATACTGTGTATTCAATCTCATCACTTAACCCTATTTAGCCCCCTTTTCAAATCCTACCTCCTCCATAAAGTCTTTTCTAATCAGTCTAATTCATATTTCTTTTTTGGGGACTCAGATACCATTTAACTTTTCCATCATTTAATTTTACTTCATATGTACATGCCTTATCTCCCCACTAAAAATAAATTCCTAATAGGCAATCTTATTTTTCTTTGAGCTACTATTTTCTTTATTAGTTTATCCATTGGTGTACTCTTAGATATTATTTCCATATCTTGGCTATGTTAGGCCTCAAACTGGACATCCAAAAGCAAAAACTGAACCTTGACCTAAGTCTCACACCTTATGCAAAATACTAACTGAAAATGGATCACTGACTTATAAATACAAACATCTAAAACTTTTAGGAGAATAATTTCAGGATCTAG